GCCGGGCAGGGGTGGCTGCGAGCCCGGGTGGCTGCGTGCCGCCTGCCAGGCTCCCCACCGTCTCTGGGGCGTGCTGGGCACCTCCTGCCCGGCGGTGGGGTTCCACCGACGTGGCACAGGGTCTCCGAGGCTCAGCTGGTGTGTGCTTATCCCGCTCAGCCCCTCCTGCCCAAGGCAACCTGCCTCAGCAACGCCGCAGAAGGTTCGTCTGCCGGGCTGGACGTACGCAGCCGTTTTGCCTGCAGAGGCCAGGAAGGAGAGCAGGATTTGACCTGGAGCATCGAGGTAGTGGTCACCCCCTGAAACCCCTGCACCAGCCAACATCCGCACAGCGCGGCACAGACCTTGGGAAGCAGCAGCGGGAGGTAAGGCGGCTGCTTCCCAGACCACGGGACGGTCAGCAAGCGTGCTGCCGCCTCCTGCCCCAGGCACTGCAGGCAGGACAGCCTTCGGTGGACCGAGGGAGCCCGGGCACAGAGTTCAGCATCATCGCGGAGCCCAGCAGACACGGCTCGTTGTCCCAGAGCATCCCTGATAGAAGTGAGCAGTCTAGCAGGTGACAGGGGGAGAGGTTTTTGGGGAATGAGGGCTGGGAGGAAATGGAGGAGATAAAGTGGTGGGGGCAGAGGGCATCTGCTGGCTGAAGTATTAGGTCTGAGCAGTCGTCAAAAGAAAGGCACAGCGGTGTTACTCAGCGTTAGTTATGGTTTGGGTGAGGGAGACAAGGGAGCAGAGGAGGAGGAGAAGAAATTGCCAGTTCCAACTCCCCAGAGGGAGATCCCCCGCTCAGTGGTCAACCCCCCTCCAGTTCAATGGCCCGTGTCTTCCCACCCTGTGCCCTGCAGTGTCCATACACCCATGGTCGGGGCGTTGGAACTGTCTCTGCCCAGTAACCTCCTCCAGCTGCATCCCTCCATCCCTTCCCCCAAAATCCCCCATCAGCGAGGAGCTCTAAGGCAGCAAGGACGGGGAGTTAGGGAACAAGGTGTTGTATTCTTCCTGAAAAGTAATGTCTCTGAGTCTCCGGAAAGCCAGAAACGTGAGGAAGCCCTGTGAGGAGAGAGAGGGGTGTGGGAAGGAGAATCAGTAAGGCAGAGCAAACCAGAGTGGTTGATTGAAACAAAACCCCCAAAGGAACCGGGGGAAGAGGATGCTTATTTAGCCACTCGCAAGCCTGTGCACTGGGGAGGACCACTGCGGGTGGTGGCACCTGAAAAAGCATCCTGAGGGACCCCTTGCCTTGCTCCTCGTCACACTGTCTGCTGGAGCTTGCAAGGGGCTTTCGACAGCACTCAAGTGCAGGATGCAGCTCGTGGGGGGCACACACATGCTGCCGTCCCTTGCCCCCACGTGGTGTCACCTTGGCGAGGGTGCTGACCACACAACCCTCTGCAGCCCCCCTTCCTCTCTGACAGCTTCGTGGTCTTACAGCACCCTTCCTGCCTGGCCCCTGCCCAATGTCAAGGCATGCAGGGAGAGGAGACGATAAAGCCACAAGGACTTACGCATGGAGACTGGCCTAAAATGCATTCCAGCTTGGCATGCTGTCACTTCAGACAAAGATCACTTGGGCTTGGTGCTTTCAGAGACAGGAGGAAACAGTGGGGGATACTTATATTGCACACCAGAGTTTTTCCAAGAAACTATCAATAAAGAACTGCTGGGGAAAGGGCAGTCTTAAGAGACAGCACCGTCACCTTCCTACGAGGCGACGCGGTGAGGCGGCGCTGCAGCGGTGGGGGCAGATGGAGAGCCCTGCGGGACGCCGACCGCAGCCGATCGCAGCCACTGATGACTTCTCACTGATGGGACCAATGCAGGGAGGGTGCAACCCCCAGCCTGGAGCTCCCTTCCTGCTTAGCATCTGCGAGGTGAAAAAGCTGCTGCAGTCCTCTGATGTACAGGGAGAAAGATGCCTGGGGAACTGGCTTGTCCAAGGTCATATCAGAGGTTTGTCAAGGACACTCCTTACTGGGATATGGGACCGTCTTTCCCACTGTGCTTATTAATGCTCCAGCACCTTCTTCCACGTAAGTTTCTGAGTCCTTGCCTCCCAACCTCCTAACCACCTCCCCTCCTGCTTTTCCTTCTCAGAAGCCATGCGAACTGAGATCTTGGAAGGGATCACTCTTAGCCAGTCACCTTCCATTCCCCACAAGCTAATACAGTGCAGACGACACTTGATCCCACGTCACGGCTGCTGTACTCACCCAGGTGAAGATGGAGAAGAACGAGAATGTGATGGCTGCTCGCGCTGCATCCCCTCCCTCATTCATTGGGTTGTCCTCTTCTTTTGAAGCTTGCCACTGGTTGGTCAGAAAGCAGAAGCCAAGGAATGCCCAAAAGGCTGGGATGGACCACCACCAGTATGCGAAAGGGGAAGGGGAGAGACATCAAGAAGGTATGTGAGAACAGAACACAAACACATCATGTTTCTCTGGAAACTTCAACCCTACGAGACCCACCAGTGTGTTGCAGGCTGGGCCAAACTCTGACTGCGCAGCCTGTGTAAGCCCAAGCGAGCTGGCAGGCGAGCTGGCGGCTGAATTGTCAAGGTGACAATAGGTGTCTGCAGAAAGTACCTCAGGAGAGTTCATTCGCTCGTGTTTGGACTAATCACAGGCCTCGCCTTTGGCCTTGCGAGGGAGCCTGAAGGGCGTCCAGTACAGGAGCGATCACCTGGGCTCTCTGAAACAGCCACTGCTTCGCAACCCTGTGCTGCAAGGACAGCGAACAGCAACTCCTTCCAAGGGAGCTGCAGCAGAGTGGGAAGCAGCCGGCCTGCAGCTGCACAGAGTCCGGCTTTTGCTCAGGACAGCGCAGGCTGAGGGACTCACACTGAGGAAAGGTGCTGAAGGATCGTTAACGTGCTGCACCCCCGGGAAAGGGGGGAAGGTAGGGGGGAGCCCCGAGCCCAGACTGGCAGCTGGTGGGGAGGAGTGGGACTCACCCTCTTCACCAGGCGCAGCCAGATACCCGTCAGCAGGGCAAACGGGCATTCCTAAGTGGCATCAAAACACGTACACGTACACACACACCATCGCTCTGTCTGCCACTTCAAATGCACTGCTGGGGATGGAGAGATCTGACTATAAGTTAGAATAAGCCTCAGGGCTGGATGAGTCCTGCACAGCTATTCATGTGGGGAATGCCAGGTAACCTAGGAGGACTGGTTTAGTCAGCCTGTGTGAAGCCCTCAACGTTTTTTTATGTTAAAATACATAGGGTTCAATCATCTAGAGCTGGAAAAGAAGGCAGGACCATCTCCAGAGGCATCAACACTTGGCCTTAGCAAGCACAAGCATGCAGGGAGGCAAGACCTGCTGATCCTAAAGGGCTCCCTGAGCTACACCTACGGAGAACAGCAAAGAGGCATCAGCCAGATTGGCTGAGGAGAAAGGGAAAGAACAGGACAGAGAGAGAAGGCCTGAGAGACTACGGAACCTGAAGACGTCCCTGCTAGCAGGGACCTGGTCTACAAGGCGGCAGAAGCTCCCTCCCTCTCCCTTGCTGGTGGAGGAGGTGGGCACTGTGACCACCCGGCCAGGAAGCTCACCCGAGACCCCGATGTCCGAGAGCACTGCCTTCTTGCGGTCCTTGACACTGCTGATCTGCGGGAAGTAGGCATCCAGAGCCAAGTAAAGAAGGCAGCTGAGGAAGGCGAGGACACCCACGGTAATGCCATAGTTGCAGGCGTTGCGATTGCGGTTGAAAATGCAGTGCTCTTGACTCTCGTCCAGGCGGTTCACGTACCCTTCATTGACAATGGAGCCGAACACCACGATGGAGAACACCTGGCGGGGAGGGAGACAGGAGACACGTCAGGGCAAGCCCCATCTCTCTGGACCAGCAGCACAAAGGAGCAGAGCTCTGCAGGGGACAGACACCCTTCGCAGGCACCTCTCTGCTCTGCCAAGCTCCCGTCCCGCTGCCTTGCCTGGGCTGGAGCCACGGGGAATTTGCTGGGGAGATGGTCTCATTTTATTTCTGTGGATTAACTTAAAATAGGACACACTTTTAGACTGAGCCCTTTTATCCATCTGACCTAAAGCGTGTAAAGCAGTCACAGTCTGGCGTAAGGGTGGCTTCCCACAGGCACACAGCGAGGCACCACGGCGTGTAAACTGGGATATGGTTTTGGTGCGGGTGCCTGCGTACGAGAGCTCCAAGTAGCGGAAATCCTCTTAGTCTGCACTTGTTCTCCCACCCACTCCTTTCCCTTGTAGGAATTCATTGTTTCTACCACACACTTGTTCACTAATTTTATCTATCCAGCTACTATGCTCTTTCCCCCACCCACCCTCCCACAAGCCCCAGCCCTGCTCGCTCTGCAGCTCCATGCTGCTGTGCTCCAGCTCTCCCCATCTCCCCGCACGTCACACACCTCTCCTCACCAGTCTTCCATCAGCCCAGCCCATGACACCACCTATCCTTCTGCCCGCTCACCCGTACGCCAGAACCCTCCAACCTTCCCCACGGGTTTCACAGGCCAAACATCTCCCGCCCAGGTCCACCGGGCAGGGTCACCGTGAGTCCTCTCTACCCGTCACCGCCACTGCCACTGCGTGTTATTTTAAATCAGGTAGAATTAAGGATGAGTCCAGGTAGAAATGCCGTAATCCGCAGTTGCCAGTCTAATCTTCGCTCACGGGCTTAGCCTTCGTCGCCTGCCACAAGGCTGTCCCTCTTTGACACAGCAGGTTCACCAAAGCAGAGAGCTATTTACAGCAGCCCCCGTCCAGCATCTCAAATAAACAGCTTCCCTGTGCAGCCATGGGAGAAAGAGGGGAAGATCAAGGCAGCATGTGCAGATTTTTCTTTGCAGGGCATCTTGAGACCCTCAGTAGGAACAGCCTGTCTGCAGGGTGCCTGCGAGGCAGATGGGAAATGGGACCTCAAGCGTGGGGTGAACACACACACGACATGCACTAGGACGTCACCAGGGGACTCTGCTAGCCTGGGAGGTGTCTGTGCCACAGGAGCCTGGCACCCTTGGAACCACCACCCAGTCCCCAGGGAGGAGCAGCACACGACAAGATGAGGTGGCCAAGTCTCCTGCAGGGACTGGAGGTAGGTCTGAGGGTTTGCTAGCTCGCAAGGACCCCGCTACCACTTAACCCAACCCAGCACCAGAAGAGGACACAGCAGACAACCCAGCAAGCAGAGAAGCAGCTTTGTGAGTGCAGGGAAAATTAACTGTTCATTAACACCAACCCAATACACCATCCGTCATCGGTGGGGTTGGATGCCTGAGATCCACAGCACAGACCTCTGCTCTTTGACCTACAGCATCATGAACCAGAGGAGAAACCTTACTCATGGTCCCCAGCAGCCCCTGGACAGATACTCAACGCTGACGATGTTTCAGCTGCCAAACTCTAACTACAGTATCCACTGACACCGATGTCATTTTTTCACCCCAAGGCTCATAACTGAGTCACACTTGGGTTGCTGAGATCAGGCATGTTTTTGACACACTAGAGCAAACTAAAAAAGCTGGAAGCCGGTGCTCCTGTGCACGGGGACTGTATGGGTTCTCTGAAAGTTCACAAGAGCTTAGAAGTAAAATGACTGATTTGTCTTCCTCTTCCTCTTCTTCTTGAAAATAGAGATTGACCATACTTGGCAGAAATTGCCCATGAAAATTAAATAAAAATCTCTTCTGCCTGAAGCAAAGGGCCGGTCTTCAAAATTTCAGCCTGAATGGTTTGGAAAGCAGCAAAATCGCACACAATTACAGCCAGGCTCTTCCAGTGGGGAGTCTCGCCCACCTTGTCAGCAGGCTGGGTGGACAGGTCTGCCTGGGACCACTGGCAGTAACACCGTGTTCTTCTAACCCGAGGAGGAGCTGGCAGACTCCTAAGTGACATCCCAACGCGAGGCTGTGACCGGTGCCGATGCTGCCACCTGAAGTACCAACCTGCATACACTGGGACTACACATGGTTTTACACATGCTTAGACAGAAAGCGTGTCCTCTCTTTAAAAGATGAGAAACAACCTCAGAAGTGGCATAGTCTGGTGTTCAGTTTTGGTTTAGGGCTCAAAACTGGTAAAAACTTGATTCCCTGAATCAGGTCAACCCTCGCAATGAGCTGCATTGTGAGTCTTTGCTTACTCGTTTGGGATGAATGAACTTCTGTAATGGCCTCTCCCCAGAGACACCTCTGTTTACTCTGCTCACATCCTGACACACATCTTCCCTCTGCTCTTATCTTTGGGGTTGCTGCTGCCCTGGAAGAGCTCTCACCTGTGAGCGAAAGAAGCAGAAAAATTCCTTTTCGCATTGGCTCTTTCACACCTTTCTATGCCGGCACGTCGTAAAGACACAGCTCAGAGTCACAAGACCAGAGGGACACCTCCCTCTCCCTAATTTTCAAGCAGAGGTGGCATTCCTAACTTCCCTTCTCCGTCTTCGGTCAGCCAAGATGCCACAACTTCTCTCCTAGGAAGAGAAACCCATTTTGCAGTCTGGAGGTGCCCAAGGTATGACTTACTGGCAGGACTCTGATTTAAGATGATGTTAGGAGTTTTCTGGGGAGATTCCACTGAGGGTATTCTGGCTCATGAGCAGAACAGGTCACTGCAGATGCTCATCTTCTGTCTCCTAAAACAGCCACCCCAGAGTACTCTTTGTCCTGAGGGAAGCTTTCCGTGGATCAAAGCACAGCATCTTAAGGGATGTCTCCTTCTCTCCATGTTTTCCTCACCGCTGGTATCAGCTTTGGTCCGTGCTCCGCTTCCCAGCGCTGCAGAGGGCAACGTCAGTGGCAGCGGGGAGGGCTTGCTCCCTTCGCCAGCCGACCACTGCCCTCACGGCACAGCAAAATGCTGTGAGGACCCGCTGTGCACAGAAGCCTTGAACTGGAACAGTAACACCAACTGGGCGAGATCGGGCAGGCTCAAACCAGAGGTTTCAGACCAACGGGCAGAGCTGGACAGCAGGAGAATAGGCAATTGCTGCTGCTGCTGCTGACAGGCAGTGTCACCTGTCTTATCCCCGTGAAGTCTGTACCCAGAAACTGTTGCGACGGGTACACAGACAGACAATTTTCTAGAAAAAATTACAATTATGATATCCCAGGTCTCACAGCCCTCAGGAGAAACTGTTGTACACTGAATCCACAGCACCTACTTCTTTTCGATAAGGGGGAGGGTGGGTGGAAGCTCCCTGACATAGCAAGTGATCTTAGAAAGAGCAAATATTTTGTATGAGGTGGATTGAGAACTGGCTGAATGGCAGAACTCAGAGGGTTGTCATCAGCGGCGCTGAGTCTAGTTGGAGGCCGGTAACTAGTGGTGTCCCCCAGTCTTGTTTAACTTCTTCATCAATGACCTGGATGAAGAGTTAGAGTGTACCCTCAGCAAGTTTGCTGATGATACAAAGCTGGGAGGAGTGGTAGATACACCAGAAGGCTGTGCTGCCATTCAGCGTGACCTGGACAGGCTGGAAAGTTGGGCAGAGAGGAACTTGATGAGGTTCAACAAAGGCAAGTGCAGGGTCCTGCACCTGGGGAGGAACAACCCCATGCATCAGTACAGGCTTGGGGCGGACCTGCTGGAGAGCAGCTCTGTGGAGAGGGACCTGGGTGTCCTGGTGGA